TAAGGAGAACGAAACACTTTCCTGTTAACTCAACATTTACTCTACAGCAGCCAAACTAAACACATATTAACAGAAGTAAAATGCACGGGTTAGCTCTTTCCTTTCCCTCCCAGGAGGTTCTTAGCTAAATTCTGTACTTAACCTGACTACAAAGATGAGTTTCCTGGATGTGCGGATAATGATATTATATCCCTCTGCCTCACTGCTCTTAACTGTCTCATGACACTTTTCATGTACAGAGTCAGTGATTCTGTTTACGAATGCTTAGTCGCTTAGTCGTGTCCAACTCTTAGAGACCCCATGGGCTGTAGCCCGCCAGGCTCCTCTGTCCATGGGATTTCCCAGGCAAGAAAGCAGGAGTGAGTTGCCATTTCCTACTCCAGGGTATCTTCCTGACCCAGAGATCAAACCCCAGGTCTCCCACATTGCAGGTGGATTCTTTACCATCTGAATCACCAGGGAAGCCCTGAAAGTGAATGCATTAGTCACTCAGTCGTGTCCAACTCTTTGCAACCCCGTGAACTATAGCTCATCAGGTCCCTCTGTCCAAGGGATTCTCCAGGAAGGAATACTGGAGTAGGTTGCTATTCCTTGGCAAAGAAGGGAGGGTAAATGCCTCTTCCTGCTCCACCTGCTGAAATTATCATCACAAGTCAGCTGACATCCTCATCCTGATTGGCTGCTCTCAGTCAGGGTGAGTGCTGATCCCCATTAGAGCCCCAGAGACAGCATGAGCAAGTTTGCAAAATAAAACGAAATGGCCTCTGATACCGTCCACTTCTTTTCCTGCCCCACTTCCTCTCCCGGCTCCATTCAGCCCACCAGGCATCTGGCTTGAGTCCCATTCTGAAGTCTCTGGCACCCTCCACTAGGGTGAAGTCACCAAGCTTTGGAGTTACGCACAGCAGACTCAAAACTGTCACTAACTAGTCCTCAGTGATCTTGGGCAAGTTGACCTACGTGGGCCTCCATTTCCTCCCCTGTTAGTGGGATGGCACAATATGTCAGCTGCTGAAATGTTCTTACACATCTCAATGCCTTTTCAAGGGGATGTGTGCTCTGATAAGCGTCTCCTGAATACCCAAAGACCATGAAGAATGCCATGCTGCTGGGGCAGAATTCCAGGGAGCCAGCAGGGGAGTGGGCACTGGGGACATGGAGTTATCCATAAGTCTCTATGGTTCATCCAGACAAGGACTGAGTTCCCTGCCCTCCCACCCATGGGATATTAGAGGCTAACCACGGTCCAGGGAAAAAGAGGCAGAGCTACCCCAAGGAACTTTCTAAAGGAATATACCAAAGCATTTTGAAAAATAATTAAGTGGTGTTTCATTCAAATCTTTCAAAAACTTTCAGGCATTAAAAGCATCAGTGGAAGAAATGAGCTCTGAAACCATGAAAGGACATTGAGGAAACTTAAATGCACATTACTAAATGAAAGAAGCCAGCCTGAAAAGGCTGTACACTCTATGAGTTCAACAACGTGATATTCTGGGAAAGGCAATTCTATAGAACAGTAAAATCATCAGTAGTTGCAGGGTTAGGGAGGAGAGAGAGGGAAGAATTAAATAGAAATAGCCCAGAAGATTTTTAGAAGGGTGGAACTATTACATATCATTACTATAATGATGAATTATGACATTACTCAGTTGTCAAAACACATAGAATACACAACACAAAGAATGAACCTTAGTGTCAACTATGGACTTTAGTTAACATTTCAGTATTGTTTCATTGGGATGTCCCTCCTGCCATTGCAGGAGATGTAGAAGACACAGGTTCAATCCCTGGGTCCTGAAGATCCCCTGGAGGAGTTTGAGTAGGCCCTGGGAGTTGTTGAAGGACAGGAAAGCCTGGCGTGCTGCAATCCATGGGGTCGCAAAGAGTCAGACATGACTGAGCGGCTGTACTGAACTGAACTGAACTTCAAGACATGATAGGGAAACCAGGGATGGGGAGAGATATATGGTAACTCTGTATTATCTGCTCAATTTTCACGTAAACCTAAAACTTGTAGGGCTTCCCTGATAGCTCAGTTGGTAAAGAATATGCCTGCAATGCAGGAGACCCCGGTTCAATTCCTGGGTCAGGAAGATCCCCTGGAGAAGGGAAAGGCTACCCACTCCAGTAGCCTGGCGTGGAGAATTCCATGGACTGTATAGTTCATGGGGTCGCAAAAAGTCAGACACAAATGAGCGACTTTCACTTCACTTAAAACTTCTAAAACTTAAAATCTATACAGGCCATTTTCAAATAGAATTATTGTTTGATAGCTTTTTATGTAAGAAGAGAGTGCTGACTCCAGGAGAGACAGGTCAGGTCTAACCCCAGACTTGGCAGGAGGAAATGGCTTGGTGGAGCAGCTTCTCAAGGTCTTACTTTGTGAAGAATCACCTGGGGAATCTTCTTAAAATGCAGACTCAGCATGTCGGGAGTGGGGCCTGAGCCTCTGCATTTCTAACAAGCTCCCAGATGAAGCCTGAGCTGCTTGTCCACGACCCAAACTTGCTGGGTGGAATCAACCTCTCTGTCCTGCACTTATTTATGGTCAGATCCTGCTCAGACACACATAATCTCTGTTTGTACCTAAATGAGTCCCAGAATTGTCTTTCGTGTCCCCACCAGTGGCCCGAAAACCCCCACAATAAGAAAAATAGCCTAGTCTCCAAACACGACCCTAGCCAGAAGCTGTTCCAGAAGCCAAACTCTGTAGCTGAACGCTAGCCTGCCTCTCAAGCTTGCCCTCTGCTGGTGAACACGGGTCATTGTCTTCTAAACTCGCCCAGCTTTCATACTGCTCGAATGCTCTATTTTTTTCTTCCAATTAATAAAGTCAGAAAAATTAGATGACATGTTCCTGAGGTTTATTTCACCCTTTTAGATTTTGGAGAACTTTTCTACTCTGTTCCTTAAAGTACTTCCTTCAGAGTGGGTAGATAAATCATGGAACAACACAGAAGACTTGAGACTGTGTGTTGTCCTAAAGTATTCCCCTGCCCTGGCTTTGTTCCCATCCCTCCCAGGCTTTCCATGGTGGGGCAGTGAGACTCCATTTACACTGCAAGATCAGAAGGGAGCAACAGTTTCTTTTGATCCAGAGTTGGGGCTGGTAGTGGAGGCAAGGTTGCTGTCTTCCAGAGGCATCAGAAGCAAAAGAAGACTTCAAGGGAAGGATGAGGAGATGGAGAGTCATGCTATTGATCGTATCACTATCTTTCATTCAGAAACAAAGTTATTTATTACCTACTGGATAAGGCTGGATATACCCATGCCTCAGTCATTCTGCACACCCCCTCTGAGCCCCGCCCCGCCCCGCCCCGCCTCCAGGCCCTACCCCTTGTCCCTGTGGGCTGCTTCCAGCTACTGTCCTTGTGCAGTCAACCTCTTAGAATCGTGGTAGAGCTCAGCGCTTCACTTTCCTGTCTATCCATTTCTTCCTTGGCCTTGGGGCCAGGAGCTGAGCATTCCTAACCCCTGAACACAGAGATGGTAGCTCTTATGGGAAATAAGCATAATGCATGCTAAGTCGCTCAGTTGTGTCTGACTCTTTTGCAACCCCATGGACTGTAGCCTGCCAGGCTCCTCTGTTCATGGGATTTTCTCCACAAGAATACTGAAGTGGGTAGTTATTTCCTCTGCCAGGGAATCTTCCCAACTGAGAAATCAAATCCACTTCTCCTGTGTCTCCTACACTAGCGGGCAGATTCTTGACCAATGAGCCGCCTGGGACTCCAATAAGCATAGTAGCTGATGCTTACGGTTTGCTCTATCCTAAGCAATCTGCTTACATTGCTGCGGCCATTTAGTCACTGAGTCGTGTCAAACTCTTTGAGACCCCATGGACTATAACCTGCCAGGCTCTTCTGTGCATGGAATTCTCCTGGCAGGAATACTGGAGTGGGTTGCCATTTCCTTCTGCAGGGGATCTTCCTGACCCAGGAATCAAAGCTGCATCTCCTGCTTGGCAGGCAGTGCTTTACCACTGAGCCATCTAATTCTTACAGCAATTCTGTGATCATCTTCATCGTACAAATGAGAAAGTTGGGGAGCAGAGAAGTTGAGAGACACAGTTAGTAACTTAATTTGTTATTTTCTCTAATAGGTTTCTGGGGGTTGATGGGCTCCATTATTCTGTTGCAGTCAAATGGTGGGTAAGACTAAATAGACAGGTCTGGAGCAGAGGCCAGGATGTCTGCATCAGCCAAGGACTGGTCAGGCATCTCTGTCCAAATGGCCTCTCGAAGAAGCTAGCTTGTGCTTCCTCCCAGTTTATCAGTGAGAGTCATTGGACATCTTCGATGGTGGTTGATCAGGCAGGAACTGCAAAACTTCTTATGATCTTGCTTCCAAAATTCGGTGACATCATTTTCACTATAGTCTGTCTGTCAAAATAGATACAGTTCAGCTCAGATGCAAGTAGGTAGAAGAACAGTCACCATGTGTCAATGCAGAAAGAGCTTGAAGTAAGTTGAGGCAAGGAACCAGTGAAGACCATCTCAGAGACAAGTCGCTACACCAGGATTTGACCCTAAGCAGCCTGACTCCAACCTTTGTATGCTCAACCACTATGCTCTACTGACCTCCACATAGGACAAGACGCAGCCACACTGTGCTCTTGGTGGCTGGTATAAGATATAATGGTGGACAAAGGAAGAGGTAATTAACTTGCCTCCATAAATCAGGACAGGCTGACAGCAGGAAGTATCTCACACACACAGCCCTCCCCCTACTGTGGAGGACAGATTATCACAGCAGTGGGCAGCATTCTACACAATCCCTCCATTAGATGAGGTGACCTAAAAGCTGAGGGTGGTTCTGTGAAGAGTCGCTGACCTGGAAATGAGGAGCTGTGATATCCTGTCCCAACTCTATCACATTGTAGGCCTAGAACCTCAAGAGAAAGCAGATCAAGAAAGGAAAGAACTAGCATGCCCAGGCCTTTCCAGAACCTTGCAGGGTAGAATTTCTGACCATGTTGTGCCCTCCTCTCCCATCCCCAGATTGGAGACCCACACCTGGTGATCTGTATGGACTGCTCAGCAGACACCATGACCAACCGCCTTCTCCAGAGGAGCCGGAGCAGCCCACAGACAGATGACAATACCACCACCATCGCCAAGCGCCTTGAGACCTACTACCGGGCCTCCATCCCTGTGGTCGCCTACTATGAGACGAAAACACAGCTACATAAGGTGAGTCACCTCACAGCCCACCAAAATAAGCCAACTACCCACTTGTTTTTCAAAAACAGAGGAAAAAAAATAGGAAATTTCAGGTTTAGGGATTTTGGAATTAGAACTGCATTGTTGTTGTTCAGTCATTCAGTCGTGTCTGACTCTTTGCAACCCCATGGACTGCAGCACGCCAGGCCTCCCTGTCCTACACCATCTCCCTGAGTTTGTTCAAACTCATGTCCTTTGAGTCAAAGATGCCATCTAACCATCTCATCCTCTGTCATCCCCTTGTCTTCCTGCCTTCAATCTTTCCCAGCATCAGGGTCTTTTCCTGAATGAATCAGCTCTTTGCATCAGCTGCCCAAAGTATTGGAATTTCAACTTCAACATCAGTCCTTCCAATGAATAGTCAGGACTGAGTTCCTTTAGAATTGACTGGTTTGATTTCCTTGCCTTCCAAGGGAGTCTCAAGAATTTTCTTCAGCACCACAATTTGAAGGCATCAACTGTTCAGCACTCAGCCTTTTATATTGTCCAGCTCTCACATCCATTAACAGCATACAGCTGCACAATTGCGGCCAGAGTGTGGGTCCCTTACACTCTTCACTTTTTGTATCACTCATCACATGCACCATGAAAAACTGGTCATACAATGTTTACAGAAGTCAATACAATTGCTCCATTTTCCAAGAAGGAGGGAGGGAGGGTGGGAAGAGGGATGAGGCATTAGTTCTGACTTCCAGACCTCAGCTACACAGGAGAACCCGAAAGGTCTCATCTAGATCTAAAATTCAACAACTTTGAATATCTAAATTTTGGCATAGTTCCTCACTGGTACTTGGCTGACTCAATTTCTTGCAACAAGTAGTGTTACTAGGAGAAGCAGCGTATGGGGCCGGAAGAGCAGATGAAGTGAAACAGTGAGGAAGTGGGTGGTCAGCTCAATGATCATGAGCAATAATCCATGCTGAGTCACTGTTCAGTTCATGAATTTGGGAAAACTACCCAATCTGCATTCATTCACTCATTTAATATATATGTACCAAGCACTTCCTATGGGCCATCCATTGCCCTGATGGTTTGGATGCAGGTATTAAGATATAGTTCTTGCCTGCTAGAGCCTAGGATTTAGTAGGTGTGCATGCATGCTAAGTCGTTTCAGTCATGTCCAACTCTTTGCAACCCCATGGACTGTAGCCAGAGAGGCTCCTCTGTCCCCGGGATTCTCCAGGCAAGAATACTAGAGTGGGTTGCCATGCCCTCCTCCAGAGGATCTTCCTGACCCAGAGATCAAACCCATGTCTCCTGTGGCTCCTGCTGCCTTGCAGGCAGATTCTTTACCTGAGCCACCCGGGAAGCCAGGGTTTAATAGGGGAGACAGACAAATCAATGATCACAATATGGAGTGAAAACGAGCACAGAGTAAGTTCTAAGGGCCCTTTAACCTGATCTAAAAGGAGACAGAAGGAAGGTCACCAGAGAAGAACTAAGCTGAGTGCAAGGTGGGGTGCTGTGAGGGGAGCAGAGCACTTCACTCAGAAGGAGCTTGGCTGTGACATACAGTGCCTAGAAGAAGAGGGAGCGGTGGGTGTGAAGAGGCAAGCAGGGACCAGATCAAGGTGAACCCATCCTAGGAGCAAATAATTGTCCTGAGAATCATGGGAGCTACTGAAGGGAACAGACATAGTCAGGGTTTCCACTTTGAAAGCTCATTCTATCAGCCTATTGGGGAATGGATCCCAAGAAGATTAGGCCAGGAGACCACCGGGAAGTGGAATGGATCCAGGAACCAAAGCCTCAGAACCCAACACAGAGGAGAGAGAATAGACAGCTACTGTTGGCTTTTTCTAGGAAGTTAAAAGGCGACATCTTCAATCAATGTGTCTTGGAGGCAGCAACATGATTGATTCCTTTGGAAAAAACCATTGATAATGAAATCTTACCTTCTGAGCCAGTTAATTGTCCATTTTCCAGACCCTTAAGAACTTAACCCTGTTTAGCATCTGAGAGGTGTCCCATGACTTAACTCAGAGGTGTCACGTGTGTGACACGAGAGCCATCACCCCCACCTTCTTCACCCACAGCAGCCACAGCTAAGCCATCGTTGCTTTTTCCTGAGGACCTCGACTTGGCCTTGGGATGTTAGCACAGCACAATAGGCATCTCCTTCCAGTTACTAGGACTTGGTGTACAAGACGAATCCTATTTGCTGTGCTTCATGCAGCCTTGAAACTGAAAGTCACTCAGTCATGTCCGACTCTTTGTGACCCCATGGGCTATACAGTCCATGCAGTTCTCCAGGCCAGAATACTGGAGTGGGTAACCTTTCCCTTCTCCAGGGGATCTTTCCAATCCAGGGATCAAAACCAGGTCTCCCACATTGCAGGTGGATTCTTTACCAGCTGAGCCAGAAAGGAAGCCCAAGAATACTGGAGTGGGTAGCCTATCCTTTCTCCAGGGGATCTTCCCAGCCCAAGAATCAAACTGGGGTCTCCTGCCTTGCAAGCAGGTTCTATAACAACTGAGCTATCAGGAAAGCCCCTCGTGTAGCCTTGGTTGCCACATAAAACAAAGACCTAGATCTTTAAACAAGCAAACAAAAAGTATATCATAAAAAGGCAGGGTCTTAATAATTCGGATGACAAAGGTCTTTCCAGGGCTCATGATTTCCACCCTCATGCCACCTGGAACACAGATGGAAATTATCCAAAGAGAAGAGGGTTTCTTCCTCTTTCAAGATTTACAGAGGTGAGAAAATCCCGAATTAAGACTTTAGCCACTTTCAGAGTCAGGAAAGCCCTTTTATCTCTCTCCTGTACCTTTCTAGCCTAAGTTCTACATGCTCACAAATGATTGGCGCGTGGACACAGGGCCAACCGAGTTCTCCAATACGGCTGATCTCTGGGATCCTCCTTAGAAATAGCTAAGTTAGTGGGGGAGGGAGCTTCCCGTAGCATGTGGCTCAGCTCTTCAGCTTCCCCCACCTTGTGGAGATGCTGGCAGCTGGGTCTGTGGTGAGGTAACATGTATGAACCATTGGCAAATATTTAAAACCACTCCAAGTTCTGACTCCAGAGCGTGGGCTCCAGCCCTCAGGACTCCCCGGAGGCCTCTTGGAGGAAGTCGTTTCGTCCCTGCCCCTGCCCCTGTCCTCCCCATGTAGCTGCCGAGATGAACAGGCTTCCTCCCCCACCTGGAGCCGAGTTGGTGCAGAGTGGCCTCATGCCAGCCCAGGGACCCAGGGAGGGGAGACTGTTTGTAGGTGCCCCATGGGGCTTGCCAGCAGCTCAGGCCACAGGCGGGGATTGGAGAAGAAGTGGGGGAGCCGGCTGGCTTGGTCTGTACTGGAGAAGGTGAAAGCCTCTGGCTCTTTGTGTTTTCTGGCCGTCTGGGCTCAGAGCACCAGTTTGATCAGCTCCTGATCTCAAGTGATAGCCTGCATCTTGTTCTTGTGATGCTGTTTGGAGTCTTAATACCCCCTCCCTGTCTCATTGGTAACTGAGTCCAAGGCAGGACTGCTAACCTCCAGGTGGGTTCCTGGATCATGTAAGGAGTTTTCTTAAACCACATGGGGGTGGTGAATGAACTTCAAGATACAAGTGAGACCATTCAGTAGCTCAGTGAGATTTCTTTAGGAATTAGAGCCACAGAAACACTCCAGCCCAGAAAAAGACCACCCTGCAAAAACACTTCCCTCTGACCTGTGTTGCCCACTTACGCTTACCCTCCATCCAGCCCCTGACACCTTTACTGCCTGATGATGATGATGTGTGTGTGCTTGGCCATGTCCAACTCTGTAGCCTACCAGGTTCTGTCCTTGGGATTTTTCAGGCAAGAATACAGGAGCGGGTTGCCATTTCCCACTCCAGGGGATCTTCTGACTTAGGGATACAAGCCAAATTTCCTGTGTCTCCTGCATTGCAGGGGGGGTTCTTTACCTCCTGAGCCATCAGGAAAGCCCACTGCCTAATGACAGTCAGTCCTTTTTGCCACCAACTATCTGGAAAAGTGCAATGGAATTTCAAACAAAAGTTAAAAAAAAAAAAAGCTAAGTTTATAGAGCCACTGCCTTATTCTTTGTTATTGCCATCATGATATAATGATGTAAAAGTTAGAACTTCTTGTAACATAAACCAAGGAGTGGAAACATATGTGACCCAAATGGATCCTCTAACCTTCCGTTTTCCCCTCTAATAAAGTCAGCTTTCTGCTGCATCTAAGAAAGAGTTAGAACTTCTGTGCATGTCACTCCCTTCCTCCTTGCACTCAAAGCAGACATCATTAGGCATTTGTGGTTCTTCTTTCCTATCCATTCTGGACGCTGCCTTAGAAATTTTATCAAGGACTTCCCTGGCGGTCTGGTGGTTAAGAATCTACCTGCAGAGCTTCCCTGGTGACTCAGTGATAAAGAATCCACCTGCCGATGCAGGAGATGCAGGTTCGAGGGATCCGGGAAGACCCCACATGCCATGGAGCAAGCACCTAAGCCTGTGCACCACAACTCTTGAGCCTGTGTCCTAGAAGCCAGGAGCCACAGGTACGGAAGCTGAAGAGCCCTCAAGCCCATGCTCCCCAGCAAGAGAAGCCACCACAATGAAAAAGCCCAAGCATCACAACCAAAGTAGCCCCCACTCACCACAACTAGAAAAAGCCTGCACAGCAACGAAGACCCAGCACAGCCAAAAATAAACAGATAAACAAAAAGATGAAAAAGGATTAAATTTTAAAAAAAAAGAATCAGCCTATGTAGGGGATGCAGGTTCAATCCCTTGTCGGGAAACTAAGATCCCACGTGGCTTACAGCCAAAAACCCAAAACATAAAACAGAAGCAATATTGTGATAAATTCAATAAAGACTTTAAAAATGGTCCACATCAAAAAATCTTTAAAAAAATACTTTATCAACACAGCAATACAGGTAGTCTCACCCAACTCACTAGAGTTGACCCATAAGAGAAAGCTTTTTTCACCTTGGGTGAGAGAATTTATAATTGAAACATAATTGAAATGCATCATTT